AAGAAGAGTGACAATGTGTCTCTCTAACCCTTAGAAAGAAGTGAAAATGAATCAAAGAGTCAAGTGAAGGAATGCCAAATGAATCAAAAGAAGTGCTTAAGGAAAGATGGAACCCACTTAGACCAAAACATTCCCTACCCTGAACCAAAAGCCTTCACAATGTCTCCACAAAAGCCCTATATGATCTTGAGTTGAATGAAGCTTACATTAGTGGATACTCACATAAGGGGCAAGCATATGGTACCTAGAGCCGGACTTGTGACTTTTCTTGAGAGAGATGAGTGAATTTCCATTAACCTCGTTTTGCGTGCCACTATTCTAAAGGTGAGGTTTGCTTAGGGAGAGTTGAGGATGTGTGAGTTTGGGTTCCACAATGACCAAAGTAATTGAAAGAGTTCTTTGATGTGTTGAATCAACTCTTGATGCTCTTGTGTCGCACTTGATCCATGGTTTTTCAAAGAGTAAATGTTGTTAATGGTTCATTTGTATTGAGGGCAATTGTTAGTCGCAATTGATGCTAGTTGAGGTAACTTTAGGACAGCTGAAGATTTGTTGGATTTTCCCTTAAGGGGTGGGTCTTATTTTGTTTGCTTGAGGACAAGCAAAAGCTTAAGTTTGGGGGAGTTGATAACTAGGGATTTTGACGCATTTTATACTCCTTCTTGCTTATGCTTTGATCAAATATCCTTACAAAATAGTCCCAAAAGGCTTACAAGTTGTGCTTGATTGCAGGTTTGATCAACAAAGTGACAAAATGTCAAAGATCGGCTCAAAAGGAGTAAAACTTGCACAAGTGCCACAAACAAGGCAAGCTCAGGCAGAACAGACTCAGTACGGCCGCACACCACTTTGTGCGGTCCGCACTAGGAGATTCAGAGAGTTGAATTTTAGGCTTCAAGGCAGTGCGGCCGCACACCATTTTGTGCGCGCACTGAAGGCAAAGCGGCCGCAGTCCATTCTCTGCGGTCCGCGGTGCCAAGATTCAGAGAGGATGATTTTTCAAGTTTGAAGCATGTGCGGTCCACGGTCAACTTTGTGCGGACCGCACTAGAAGCTTCCGCGGCCGCGGTCCATTATGTGCGGTCCGCGGATCCCAAGTTCAGAGAGCCGTTTTTCAAAGCCAAAGCCCAGTGCGGACCGCGGTCCATTTTGTGCGGTGCGCACTAACCCCGCAGGGGCATTTTTGTCCAGATTTTTTAGCTTAGTATAAATAGATTCTTTTTCCATTTTTAGGGCATCAGATATTGTAATACGTAAGCTGCACTCGTGAGACGATTTTTCTTAGCCATTTTGGGCATTTTTACTTACTTTTCATCATTGAATCTTTATATTTAGCTTAGAAATTAATTAATATGTGTTTATCTTCATCTATTTCTTATTTTTCTTCTTTGAATATGAGTAGCTATACCCCATAGCTAGGGTTGTGGCTCAACCCTAGTGTGGGTAATTGATGGGTCTTGTATTTTAGGGCTAATTTGACTATGGGTGTTTGTTATTTGGGCCAATTTCATGGTTAATTTCTGAATTAGTGGTTGCAAACACTAGTTTGTGTTGAGTTGACTTAAGCTCTTCTTGAGAAAGAGAGCCTAAGTCTCCGAAATTGGTCCAACAATGAATTGGGGCGTATTCAAGAGATTGATAACCCCAATTGGTCCAACAATGAATTGGGGCGTATTTATATATAAAATATTTTCTCTAATTCATTAAATGAGCTTATACTCCTATTCTTGATATAATTATATATTATGACCAATGTAATTTGTTTATTATTTTGATTTATCAAAAGGTACGACTCTATTCAGAGGTAGTGTATGCCTAATAGATTGGACAATAACGAATAATATTTGTGAAATAATAATTAGTTGATAGAATCCATGACTCGGTTTTGAGTTTGATGATACCCTTTATGTAAGCTTATAAGTTTTCATGTGAAAACCCGGCCGGTGGATTTTGTATCCGTCACATGAAATAGTTTAAGCGGAATTGTAAAGGATTTAATTAGTTGATTAAATTAAATTTTTAGTGATTTAATTTAATTAACTGGTATTTGAGATCTCTACTCCTTCGGGGTAGGGGTAAGGTCTGCGTACACACTATCCTCCCCAGACCCCACTGGTGGGATTTTACTGGGTTGTTGTTGTTGTATATTGATGAGTTCAATTGCAGTTTTTAGTGGCATAAATTGTGATTAATTATAGTAAGAATTAATTCATACAATTTTGAATTAATGCTATAATTGGTAGCCTCTTATTATTTCTGTGGTCCCTGGAGTAGGACTCTACTTGTGAAAGCAGAATCCTACACGTTTTTGGAGCATAATTTCGGCCAAAAATCACTATATTAAAGGAAGACTAATTTCACCCAAATAACTCGCTTTTTAGAGTTGTATTGTTCTTGCCCACCCAAAAGCAAAATCGTCCAAGGTTTTACTAGGCATATAGCAGAAGATTGCAGCCCTGGATTCTCGCTGTGTGGAAGATTTGTGCAACGTTTTCAAGAGGTTAGTGCTTATAATCTAGTGATTATAGCATTGTCTAGTTTACATGTATTTGATGCCTGGATTGTATGCTTGCTTCCACTGCGCATGTTCTAACAGTTGGTATCAAACGTCGTCTTACATCTAACTAGATAATGTAATACAACATGAAAAGAGTAATATTAAAACGTGTTATTATTCTATGTCAAAAACGTGATTGTATTTAGTAGTATTTTAATTCTATAATTATGAATTAATATACACACGCATAAACAGTGGTGTTATATTTGATGACAATCTGTTTAATTTACGTTTTTGATGAATAGCAATTTGTTTTTAAAAACGTGACCTTTTTTTCGAATGCTATTAATTCTGTTATGGGTATATATATATATATATATATATATATATAAACAGTGAATTAATACTATTAATCTGTTTAAATTGCATTTTTGTCCATAATCACAGTGTTATATTAATAAAAACTTGACTGTTTTATATGATATTAGTTCTGAAATTTTGGATTTATATACGGAATTATGAACAGTGACATTTTTGAACGGTGAAAAATATACTGTTTTTTAAAATCCCGTTTCAACATGTTTTTATTAAATAATAATAAAAATATTATTTTTAGTTCCGAAATCATGTTTTAACATACATCAGTATATTATGTGATTTGAACAAGTCAAAATAATAAAAAACCTTAAAAACGCCAAAAACAGAATTCTACAAATAGGTCATGATTTTAGAATTCTGAAATTCTGTCGAACTCCGATTGACCTCAAATTTGGTAGGTTCATCAAAAATGGCCCAGTGAGCAATACTCATCAGCTTTGCTCATGATGTACGTCATTTTTTGGGCATTCGGGGTCGTTTAGATGGGTTTTTGGCCATTTTTCTATTTTCTGGATTTTTTTAATAAAAGAATTTTTTTTAAAAGAAATCGTGATGGTAGGGTTCAATTCCCATTGTTTCCAATCATGTTTTACAGTAATATAATGAATTTATATGTTGACATAGGTCTTCTTCCACATCGGATAAATTCATTATAGATGATTACTGTAGTTTTACCTCTAGTTATTTGATTACTTGTATTAACTCTCCAACTGAGTTACATGTTGATTCAATGAAACTAGAGTTTATAAAAGTGATATTTACCTATCTTAAATTAATAGTTTACTCTCCATCTGAGTTGGTCCTGTTTAAATTTATGGGTTAATATCTTACATCACTCATATATTTTGCATGAATAGTTAAGTTTCCCTAACGAATCTAA